CGAAGTGTGGGGGTGGCGGGAGGGGCGAGGGGTCCCCGGGGGGGACCGCCCGGCCGTGGGGGGGGGGGGCAGGCAGTCTGGCACCCTGGCAGCGGCATGCCAACGAGTCCCCTTCATCCCCCAGACCAGGTCGGCCTCCCCGACTTCAACGCGGGCGCGATGGAGAACTGGGGGCTGGTGACCTACCGGGAGAACTCTCTGCTCTTCGACAATGCCTACTCCTCCATTGGCAACAAGGAGCGGGTGGTGACCGTCATCGCCCACGAGCTGGCCCATCAGGTACCCGCCGGGCCCCCCGCCCGCCCCGCCGGCTGGCTGGGCCCAGCTGACGGGGCACTGTGCCCCCCTGCAGTGGTTCGGGAACCTGGTGACGCTGCGGTGGTGGAATGACCTGTGGCTGAACGAGGGCTTCGCCTCCTACGTGGAGTACCTGGGCGCCGACTCGGCAGAACCCTCCTGGGACATCGTGAGTGCTGGGGCCAGCAGGCAGGGGGTGTGGGCAGGGGGTCCGGGCAGGGAGTACAGGCACCCCCGCCACCCCTGCACCCCCAGGGGCTGCCCCCGCTGCCAGGAGGGTGCAAGTGGGGCTGAGGCAGGTGCTGGCACTCACCCCCGCAGAAAGACCTGATGGTGCTGAATGAGGTGTATACGGTGATGGCGACGGATGCCCTGACCACCTCCCACCCGCTTACCTTCCGCGAGGACGAGATCAACACCCCAGCCCAGATCAGCGAGGTCTTTGACAGCATCGCCTACAGCAAGGTGGGTGCGCAAGCCCCAGGCGCACGGGGACTGGACGCGGGGGTCCCGGGGTGGCGGGGTGGGCTGTGGGGTGCCTCACGCACCCGGAGTCTCTCATCCGCCATCTCCGCAGGGAGCGTCGGTGCTGCGGATGCTCTCTGACTTCATCAGTGAGGACGTGTTCAAGAAGGGGCTGCAGGTGAGGTTCTGCTGGTGCTGGGAAGCACCGAGCCCTGGTGCGGGGTGGGTGGCCCGTGGCAGGGGCCTCCCCGGGTGCTCTGTGGGTGTCCTGCCCCCCGGCCCTGCCCCTGCCTCTGCCCACCCGTCTCTCCTGGTGCTCTCCCGCAGTCCTACCTCCACACCTTTGCCTATGGAAACACCGTCTACACGGACCTCTGGGCTCATTTGCAAGAGGTAGGAGGGGGCAGGCTGCTCCCCCTGACCCAGCCCCTTGCCCGCCGCTGCCCCGGCTCCGGGAGGCTGCTGGCAGGACGGGGTCCCAGCCACACAGCTGCTGCGTGCTAGGCAAGAGGGGCGGCGCTGGCCGAGCCCTGTGCCCCACCGGGACCCCCTGGCACCGGTGACCCACGGTGCTGCCCTCCCTGCAGGCTGTCGTGGAGAGCAATGTCTCGCTGCCCAGCTCCATCAGCAACATCATGGACAGATGGACGCTGCAGATGGGCTTCCCTGTGGTGACCGTCAACACCCTGGACGGCACCGTCACCCAGAACCACTTCCTG